CGGGGCTATGATCTTGGGGGCGGGGCACAGGGCAGGGCTAGGTAGCTTTGGAGCGGGACAAAGCGATAGGGGCGGGGCCGTGTGACGGTTGCTTCCCCTCCCCTTCACCTGCTCCTCCTACTGCGCCTCGCGCGCTGGCCACGTCCAACCGCCGCCTCCGTGAGGGGCGGGGCCAAAGGAGGGGGCGGGGCCCCGGGCATCCCAAACAAGAGGGCGGGGCTTGGGCAGGCAGAGAGCGGGGCAGAAAAGAGCAAATCAAGGGGGGGGGGTCTGCAGTAGGGACCCCGTTGCTAAGGGGGCCAGCCCCCCACCCCTGCAGGGCCCCAGTTCCCCGCCAATGCTAGGGGCCCCAGGCCTTCCAGCCTCCCCCCACCTTAGCCCCCCCATCATGCCCGCTGCACCCCCCTCTGCAGAAGCTGCAGTGAGGGGCCTGGATTGTCACCCCCTGTCCAGAGACCATGTGTGGGGGCAGGGAGCAGCTCCCACAGAGGGGGGCACAAAATGGGACATCCCCAAGGCTGCCCACCCTGACCCTACTTGTGGGTGCTCAGGGCGTCCCTGACAGCCCTCCACAGGGGCCGTGGGCAGGAGACAGAGCTGCCACTTCACGGGAAAAAAACCAGATTTGTTTTCATTCCACATGGGCCCAAAAATGTGGGAAAGCACCACAAGAATCACACTCTTCCCTAAAGCACAATTCGAAGCTGTTGTAGCTATTGCTCTGGGGCGAGCAGCACCTGCCGTTCGGGTGCAAAAATCACAGCTGGCCACGCTGATCTATTTTAAGTACGAAATAAATGAATAAATAAAATAAAATTCAGCCAGACTCATTTACAAACAAGGAATCTGAGTGGTTCCTTCTGTCCCTCCCTGGACATTTCAGCTGCCTCAACCCAGTCCTGCCAAAGCGTCAATTTCATCCAAGGAACATTTTTCTGCCAGAGGAGCCAGCTCTGCCCTATAAAGCCCCAGGTGCTGGAGTCCTGGGATTTGTTTCTGCGGCAAAGCCTTTTACCCCCCTACGTGAATGGGTGTTTCATAGAGTTGACACCAGAAGGGATTATTTAATCATCTAGGCTGGCCTCCTGTATAGCACAGCCCATTAAATCCCCCCCAGATACCCCACACTGAGGCCAGAGACTTAGGTGACTCTAAACTGATACAGACCCAGGGCTGAGAGGGGCACCCCAGCCCTACAGCAGGCCAGTGGGACCAGGGCACACGTAAACCCACCCCAGCAGTAGCAGGAGTTCAGCCCCATTCTTCAGCAAAGGGTTCATGCTCCAGAACAGGGCAGGAGAAATCAAAACAACCTGATCCTTTCCCTTGCCCCAGGATCCGGCTTCTGTAGGCCCCTGCCTGCTCCCTGCAGGTCTGCTGTGTCTCTCTGACCACCTGGCTTGGTGGCCTCTTATCTCAGGCTCTGTGCTGCCCCACTCTCGAACCCATCACCTGGGGGGGGGGGAAGGGGGGCAGCTAATTAACTACAGGTGGGGGTGGGCTAAACCCACCTTTTTTAAAGGGCCAGACCAGCCTGAGCCAGACACAGCTGGTCTCCTGCTTTAGCTCCATCGGTTTAGATGTGGGTGGGAGTTTTGCTGTTGATTTCCTTGGGAGTTGGATCAGACCTGTAGCGAAAGCAGGGCAAAGACCCCATGTGGACGCAGTTATTCCACTAATAGAACAGCTCTAGTAACGCCGCCTGGAGCTACATTTTTGCCCAAGGTTTCCGTTTTCAGCTGCTTAGAACTTTGCCAAAGTTTAATTGTTTGGGACAAAACATCCCGCGCCGGGGATCTGCTTCAGGTGAACTTGGGGAGTTTAAAACCACACAACTGGGGGGAAACGCCATTTAGCCCATGTGGAAATTTTTTCCCAACCATTTGGTTCAGCAGCTCTAGCGCCCCCGTGTGGTGACACAGGGACATTTGATGGATGTGGGGGAGGCGGAGATCCCGGGGTCAGGGAGATGCCGCTCCTTGGGCCAGGGACTGTCTTCCTGGCCTGTGTTTGTACAGCACCTGGCACGATGTGCTCCTGGCCCATGATTAGGGTGCCTAGGCACTACTGTAATACACCTAATAAATACGTACAGCACCGAGCACCAGGCCTTGGTCTGACTGGGGTGCCTAGGCATTACCGTAATACACCTACTAACTAACTAATACAATGTGATCCCAACAGGCTCTGAACTCAGAGACCAGAATAAACTGAGCCCTGGCTTAGAACAAGCCAGGAAAGAATTGTTTTCCTGGGGACAAATTTAAAATATGTTTTTAAAGTTTGGGGCAACATTTTGTTGTAGGATTTTTCCAGGTTTTCATCAAAAAGCCAATGTGTGTCGAACAAAGTCATTTGAATGGAAAATATATTTGACACCCAACACCCCATTTATTGTTTAAAATAATCTCATGACATTTTAGGCCAATCTTGCAATTTGACTCGGGATCTTAAAATGCCTGGGGTTGGCAATACTGGATGTCCCCTTACTCATTGGTGTGTGGCTCAGGGTTAAGCCAGTAGGAGGTGCTATCGGCTGCCAGCTCATCTCTTCTCTGGCTTCTCCATTGATTTCTGCAGAATTCCAGATTCCAGACATTATGGATTCATCACAATGATGACTGAGCCATGCTCCATCTTGGTTGGTGTTGACTCTGGTCCCTAACAATGACAGCCAAAATGGCCAGTGTGTTAACAGTTGATCATTTTAGCCCAAACATCTGGCTCATACCAGGCCTGGGGACTGTGGGCAGGGCTTGTAGGTTGCACCTGTCCCCTAACCTTTGTTGTGTCAATTTAGATTGCAAGAGCCTTGGGGCGAGGGCTGTCTCGGCGGTTGTCCGTGCAGCTCCAAACGAAGCCATCCCAATGTCTCCTGTTCTGTGTTTGCACAGCACCCCGAGCAGGGGTCTGATCTTGATTGTCCCTTCCCCCGGCACCATTGTAAGAAACATGATTCTCTTCTCCTCCCTCTGAGCTAGCTTAGACCACGCTGCCCATCACCTCGGCATCAGGCCTTTTATCACTTGCTGCTGAGGGAAGAGCTAAGGACAAGGCCAGAAGGAGACACAAGGAGGCAGCGTGTGATGGAGACAGGTGGCCGCAGCGCTGGGCCAGCACGGGTGCCATGAGATGCCCCCTCTGGGGATCACGGCATTGGGAGTTAATAGCAGAGTACAGGCGCACTGGGCCTGTTACATACATGAGAGGGCAAACCCCTGCCCAGCCCAGCCTGAGCCCCCAGGTGCCCCACACCAGCCCGAAACAGGTGTATGGAGAGCTCTGGGCTATGCAGGTGCCAGACTAGCTGGTCACGACGATCCCTTCTCCTCAATGGCTATGAATGAGCCTTCAGGACCAGCCCATGGCTGACCAGCTCAGCTGCTACCCCCCAGCAGTAGGGGGGCTCAGGGCCTGCGTGGGCTTCCCCCAGTGGTGGGTGGGGAGGCAGGTGCACCCCACATCCTGGGCAGCTCTTCCAGGGCTCAGCTGTCTGGAGGCAAGACACTAGCGGAAGGTAAGGCCCCTCTGCCCAGCCCCCATGGGCTCTGGCCACGTGGCTGGTTGCTGGCAGCGCCGGCCCAGGAGCACATCTGAGGGGCAGAGCCCCAGCGGAGGTAACTTAGCATTGCGCGAGTGGTGTCAATGATCCCCAGCTGGTGTCAGTCTAGGGCACCCCCGGAGAGCTGGCCCCGAGCGTTTGTGCCATAATGCCCCAAGTGCTGGGTGGAAGACCAGGGCTGAGTGGGACACGTAGGAGGCTGCTGAAGCATTTGCTGGCGTGTGGAGCGTGTCAGCAGAGAACTGGACAGATGACAGTACGGGGAGCTCTCTCCTCTAAGGCCTGGTCTACACTACGACTTTAATTCGGATTTAGCTGCCTTAATCCGAATTAACCCTTCACCCGTCCACACTACAGAGCCAGTTAATTCGAATTAAAGGGCACTTAAAATCGATTTCTGTACTCCACCTCGACGAGCGGAGTAGCGCCAAAATCGATTTTGTTAATTCGAATTAGGCTTAGTGTGGCCGCACACCACCGAATTAATGTGGTTAAAAACCGAATTACTGTGCTTAGTGTGGCCGCGCACAATCGAATTTATACAACCTGTTTCCCAAATTCGAATTATCTAAATTCGGATTAATCCCGTAGTGTAGACATACCCTAAGTCTGTATGAACCCACTACCCCGTTGCAGCACCAGAGGGCGCTGTGCTGCAGTGACAGGGAGTCTCAGTAGGGGGCACTCTCCCCTTCCAGATAGCACCAAATCCAAAACCCAAGAGCAGGACTAGGGGGCGCTGTGCTCAGTAGGGAGCATTTCCCCTCACAGTCAGTGATGACCCTAATGCTCCAGTGGGCGCTGTGCTGCTGGTAGGTCTACTGCTCAGAACAGACCCCAAACCTAGCCAGGCATTCTGAACAAAGACCCCCCAGAGCCCAGGCTCCATCCCAGCTCCCTCCAGGAGAATCCCCCCTGCCTCCCTCAATCCCCATATAGGAGCATCGGGACTTGGCATTTCCCCCACTTCCTGTCCTAAACTGCCATGCACAGGGCCCTGGACGAGCTAAATAAACTCCAGGCCCACTGTGGCACTGCCCTGTTCCCCAGAAGGGGGCGCTGCAGCTACCATCCCTGCCCTGGGATTCTCCTCTTCACTGAACTCACCAGGTCCATATTAACCCCTGCTGCACTGAGGCCAGGTGCCTCCGTTGGTTCCTGGGCCTTCTGCAACAGGTTGAGGGCCCAGCCACAGTGCCACCACACGCTGCCCAATCTCTCCGGCTTGTCCCATCTGGCAGCCTCTCACCACCATTGTGGGGAGCTTCCTCCTCAGCCTTCAATGCGCTTCTTAACCGGGGGGGGGGGGGGGGGGGAGAGCATCAGTCTCACAAAGTTACTAGTGGGGAAACTGAGGCAGGGGAAGCTTGCCCAAGGTCAGTGGCAGCAGAGAGAACTCAGCCCAGGAGTTCTGGCTTCCAGCCCCCTCCCCCTGTTCAAACCACTAGACCCCACTCTCCTCCCAGAGCTGGGCATGGAACCCAGGAGTCCTGAGTTCCAGCTGCTGCTCCCGAAGGGTTTCCCACAGCGCTGCTCTGGTTGAGGGCTCTTCTAGCCTCCCGGAATGAGACGCCTCCGACAGCTGGGCTGCAACATTTGCTTAACTGGTCTATAATTTACAACTCACATCTCATAACACAAAGGCAGCTGATTGGCTCCCTCTTGCCCCACAGAACACAGCCCGAGGGTTTCCCTGCGGGGACAGAGGTAGTTAAAAGGCAGGCGGGCGGCAGGGTGACTGTAACCTTGAGTCTTTGCCTGGAGCCAGAGCGACCACACCCCAAAGGCTGACAGGCAGGGGCGGGAATGTTAAAGAAGGGGAAACTGAGGCACAAGAAAAGTGACTCCACCAGGCACACACAGCAAGTCAGTGGCAGAGCCGGGAACAGAACCCAGAAATCCTGATTCCCAGCCCCTCCTGCTCTAACCACGAGAGCCCACTCTCCTAGGTCCAGGACAGAACCCTGACTTCTGGCCATATGTCCCTCTTTAACCACTAGACGTTTCTTTCTTCCCCATCAGTAACAGAACCCAGGAGTCCTGATTCCCAGCCCCACCTCCATCACTAGACCCCCCCCACCCATTCATAAGCAATGGGCTCGACGCCTGCCAACCAGGATGAGAACAGCCCCTGTTGTGGCAACGCTTCCCTGCATCCCGACACTGCGGTGAGGGGCACAGCTCAGTGGGGGCTGGAGCAGCAGGCAGGTGCATGAAGCCCCCATGGGGAGGTGCTGCAGGACGGGGCAGCACCCTGTGGGTGGGAACTTAGAGACAGTGGCCTCCCCCACACCCCCGGGGATGGGAGTACACAGGGAATCCCTTCCCCCAACCCCTGTGGATCTGCTGTGCCCTCAGCCCTTGTGCCTGCCTGACCTCCCCATGGGGCCAGCAGCCCCCAGCTCTCACCCCAGTCATACCCAGGGAGGCCCCTGCTCCCCTTTATCAGGGGTGATGTGGCTCCAGCCCCTCTAACCTTCATGCAGTGAGCGGGGGGGCTAGGACATCATGCTGAGTGCGGTCAGACAGGTGAGAGACAAGGAAAATGTAGGGAGTGGAACAGGGGCTCAGTGCCCCCATACAGCACAAGGGGGCGCTGTGCTACTGGGAGCAGGGTGGGGGAGCACAGCAGGGGCGCTCTCCCTTCACAGTGAGTGCTGACCCTAAAACACCAGCACGGCACTAGGGGGCGCTGTGCTGCAGGGATTGTGGGGGAGCACGGCAGGGGGCGCTCTCCCTTCACAGTGAGTGCTGACCCTAAAACACCAGCATGGCACTAGGGGGGGCTGTGCTGCAGGGATTGTGGGGGAGCACAGCAGGGGGCGCTCTCCCTTCACAGTGAGTGCTGACCCTAAAACACCAGCATGACACTAGGGGGCGCTGTGCTGTGGGGGGCACTCTCCCTTTCAAGGCAATGCACAGGGCCCCCTGGTTTTGGCTTAGAATTAAAGCTGGAGCCCTGATCAGTTGTCGCAGAACTCGAGGTCAAGTCCAGCACCCTGCACCCAGGCAGGGCCACGGGTACCTGGACCGTCCCCGACAGTTGTCTGGCCAACGTGTTCTTAAAAACATGGCCCAGCCCATGGCCAGTGACAGGGTGGGAGCGCCAGCTTCCTGGCCAAAGTCCCTTTGGGGCAGCCCCCTGCCGCTTGCCTACAGTCCCGATACAATCCCCCTTCCCCTCCAGTCCTAAAACTGTTGTGCGCTGTTGCTGGTGGCTGTTAAGCAGCTGATACAGCCCACCCCAGAGGCAGCTGCATTTCAGTGCCATGCCAGGGATCCCTGTATAAACAGCGCCCATGCCCTGCCCCAGTGGCAGCTGCCCCCACCAGCTCCTGCATCACCTGGCTCCAGATGCTTCAAATGGTCCATGATATGAGGCAGAGCCCACAGGCAAAGGGCTAGGCTGACCCTCGCCTGGCCCTGGGGGAGCAGATGGGCCTACAGCCATGGGTAGAGGGCAGCTGAACCCTGGGTAGAGCTGCGGTAGGATGAAGGGCTGCGGGGCATAAAGCCCCCTAGCTCAGGGGAGGTTTCCAGGGCTTCAGAGAGGGGCAGGGGGTGGGTCACTGGATGGCAGGGGTGGGAGGTGGACCCTCCTGGGCATCCTTCTGGGACCTGGCCACCAGTCCTCCCCCAGGAGCCAACATTGGGTGCCACTCCTCTGCCCTCAGGGTGGCCCCTATTTGCTCCGAGGGTCCAGCAGCTCCCCACCCCCACGAGTTGACTCCACCCTGGCCTGGCAGGGCCCCCACCTCCCCTCAGTGCCCATCCTCCCCCCACCCAGGATGCAGGGCACAGACCCCTCCTCTCGCTGCACCCCTGCCTCTGAGAGCAGAGGGTGGGGGTCGGCCTTTCACCCACGGCAGCGCCAGGGCCAGACCCAGGCTGGGGGTAGGAACCAGGGTGGGGCCAGCGCTGAGCTCCCCCCCTTCGCTTGTTGGCAAAACTACAATGGTCCAAGAGAAAGTCACGGGCAGAGGGGGCAGCCGGGGGCTCAGATGGGGGGGGTGGGGTTGGAGGGCAGCAGTCCCTGGCAGGGACTCCAAGAGATCCACCTCCCCGTCTTGCTTCTGCAGCCTTGGAGCCAAACTGCCCCCCCAGCACGGATCCGGGCCGGCTCCCCGCCCCACTGAGTCCTTCAGAGCCCCAGGGGGCGCCGGTGGGAAACCCTCCGTCCGTTCCCGCGGCCCAGATCTCCCCTGGGCTAGCAGGTGTCCGCGAGGTAGTCGAAGTGGCGGAAGGCCTCCTGCTCGGCAGCGGTGAGCAGGCGCGGCTCGCGGGGCGGCGTCAGCGCAGGCGCCTCGGCCGTGAACTCCTCGTCGAAGTTGCTGATGTCCTCACGCCCCTTGATGATGGGGACGAAGGGGGGAGGGAGCCGCCGGGCCAGCAGGGCCTCCCAGTCAATGACCTGCAGGGGGAGGGGAGCAGTGAGTGAGTGGGGGAGGCTGCAGCCAGACTGGGAGTTAGCCCTGCCCTTGGGAACCTCCCACCAGACTAGGCTGGGCTGGCCCTGGCCAAGCCTTGGGCAGCAGAAGGCAGCTGCAGGGTGGGAGGCACAACAGGGGGCGCTCTCCCCTGGCAGTCAGTGCTGGCTGTAATGCCCCCGTGCAGCACTAGGGGGCGCTGTGCTGCAGGAAACAGCGCGGGGGGCTCAGCAGGGGGTGCTCTCCCCTGGCAGTCAGTGCTGGCTGCAATGCCCCCATGCAGCACCAGGGGGCGCTGTTGTCTACCATGATCTTAGACCAAGGGGGCTGCACTTCATCCTGGATATGGAGGGAGGGGGCATCGCCTCCTGCTGGCTGAGCCAGGCGTGGCAGTGCCAGCATCCACAGGGGGCATCCCAGCAGGAGCCAGGCTGTAGCCAGGGACGGGGGCTGCAGTGGAGGGTTGTTCTGTCTGGAGTGGGAGTGGGGGGGTGGCCGCAGGGCGGGATGTCGGGGGAAGAAGGAGGGGGGATAACATGGGGGTGGGGACTGACCCTGAAGAACGGCTGCTTCTTGACGTCCTCGGCGTCCCGCTCGCTGGAGCCCAGGCGCCGCTCCGGGTTCCTGCGCAGGAGCTGGACAGAGACACAGTCACCCTCCAGCGCCTTTCCCCCACCCTGCTCTCCAGCCCTGGAGACCCCCCCCACTCCCACTCTCCATCCCCAGGAACCCCTCCCTGCTCCTGCTCTCCATCCCTGGAGACCCCCCATCCCCGCTCTCCACCACTGGAGACCCCCCACCCCCACTCTCCATCCCCAGGGGAACACAGGCGCTGCACTGAGCCACCCTTCCTCATCCCCACCCAGAGCAGAGCCCTGGAGCATGAGGATAGCTTGACCAGATGAGCCATACACTGGAGGGGCAGGAGCTGCTCCACGCTGGGGGCAGGGCCCCCACCTCCCCTCAGTGCCCCTCCCCCCCCCCCCCGCGGGGGGCAGCGCCCCCCCCTCCCCTCGGCGCCCCCCCCCCCCCCGGTGTCTGGCCCCTCCCCCCGGAGCCCACCCCCTGCTCCAACAGGCCCTTCGGGAGCTGCCCTGTTCCCTGGCCCAGCCCCAGTGTGTGTGGTGGGGGCAAGGCCTGGCGCACTCACCCGGCGCATGACGCCGATGGCCTCGGTGGACAGGAAGCGGGGGTACCGCACCTCGTCATTCACGATGCTGTCAAACACCTCCTCTTCGTCGTCACCTGGGAATGGGGACTGTGGGGGGAGCCAGGGGGTGGGTCAACGTCCCTCCAGCTCAGAGTGATCCCCAGCGCAAATCTGCCACCACGCTGCCCCGAGCGCCCCCCCAAACCCCATGGAGCTGACCCCACGCACCTCAGCCCTGACCCAGCCCCCCACCCTGAATCAAGCGCCCCCCCACCTCCACCCTACCCAATATCTCTCCACCTTTGACCCAGCCCCCGCCCTGTCCCAAGTGCCCCCGCCCCATGCCCCCTGCCTGTGACCAGGCCCCGCCCCCCAGCCCAAGCCACACCCCCTCCCTCCATTCAGACCCACCCCCCATCCTGCTGGGAGAGCCCCGCTGAACTAGTCCTCACTCTGAGCCCCTCCCCGACCTACCTGCCCCTCCAACTGCCCTCCCCCACCCCGACCAGCCCTGGGGTGGCCATGTGAAGGCCCAGGGTAAGACCCCGCCCCCCGACTCACCTCCCCCACCAGCATCTCGTAGATCAAGACGCCCAGCCCCCACCAGTCCACGGCGCGGGTGTAGGACGTGTCTGTCAGCACCTCGGGCGCCAGGAACTCGGGGGTCCCGCAGAACGTGCTGGTGCGGTCGCTGTAGCCCATCCCTGAGTGGGGAGGGGAAAGGGTTAAACCCCGGGGTCCCCCCCATGCACTGAACAACCCCCTTCCCATCGCAGGGTGGGGGCTACGCCCGGGGCTTCCTCCCAGCTCCCTGGAGGCCACAGACCCACCAAGGCTCCTGCCCCCGGTGCCCCCCCTTCAACTGCCCCCAAGCTAAGCAGGGTCAGTGCATGGAGAGAGCTCCCAGAGAGCGGGGTGGGGGCTCAGCAGGGGGCGCTATCCCCTCAGGCAGGGCTGGCCCCAATACCCCAGTGTGGCACTTGGGTGCGCTGTGCTGCAGGGGGTGGGGTGGGGGGTTCAGTAGGGGGCGCTGTGCTGCAGGGGGTGGGGTGGGGGGGCTCAGTAGGGGGCGCTGTGCTGCAGGGGCTGCCATACCTCGGGGTGGTTATTAACAACCCCTGAGCTCCCCCCAGAGCTGCGTTTGTCCTGGTGCCCCTAGCACGGCGCTTCCATCCCCCTGCGGCCAGATACGCGCCTCTCCTTCACTTCCTGTCCCAAAGTGCTGCATCCCCCCCGAGTCCTACAGCTGCCACGTCTCCCCACGAAAGTGGCTGCACCCCGGCGCTGGGCGAGCCACCCTCATATAAGCAGCTTCTACGTTCCATCCCAGAGGTGGCTGCATTGCAGCAGCAGGTGGAATGGGCCTAGAGACCCCCAGCTGCCTAACGGGCCCCAGTGGCAAAGTATCTTGACACTCACACATAACTGCCCCGGTACCCCTGCCCCCCTCCCTTGCCCTGTGCCCAGCACCCACCTTCCTTGCACAGGCCAAAGTCTGCGATCTTCACAAAACCCTCCTTGTCCAGTAATAAATTATCCAGCTTCAGGTCCCTGAAGGAGGAGGGTGCGAGGGTCAGCGTGTGCTGGCAGGCTAGGAGTCCGGCCTGCTGGGATCTATCCCCAGCTATGGGGGAGGACTGAGGTCTAGTGATTAGAGCAGGGAGGGCTGGGAGTCTGGACTCCTGGATTCTATCCCCAGCTATGCACAAAGTCCCTTCCCAGCTGTGTGCCTCAGTTTCCCTACCTGTACAGCAGGGTGCAGAGCGGGGAGCCCCATGCTGGGCAAGGGAATGTTCCCCCCTCCCTCATTGAGAGTCTCTTACCTGTACACTATTTTGCGCTCATGAAGAAACTGCAATCCGAGGACGACACAGGCGGCGTAAAACCTGCAGGGGACGATGGAGGCGGGGGGGGGGGGTTGTCAGTGCTACAGCCTGTGCTGGGGCAGCCCCTCCCTGCTGGCTCTGCCATACAGAGCAAACCCAGCCCAGTGGGGGAACAAGAGCGGGCTGGGAGCCAGGACTCCTGGGTTCCATTCTTAGCCCTGGGAGGGGAGAGGTGTCTAGTGATTAGAGCAGAGGGCTGGGAGCCCTGACTCCTGGGTTCCATTCTTGGCCCTGGGAAGGGAGCGGTGTCTAGTGGTTAGAGCAGGGGGATGGGAGCCAGGACTCCTGGGTTCCACACCTGGCTCTGGGAGGGGAGCGGTGTCCAGTGGTTAGAGCAGGGGGGCGCTGGGAGCCAGGACCCCTGGGTTCCAGGCCGACTCTGGGAGGGGAGCGGTGTCCAGTGGTTAGAGCAGGGGGCGCTGGGAGCCAGGACCCCTGGGTTCCAGGCCTGGCTGGGACTGCCAGCAAGGCCCTGTGGGCTGGCGCGTGGCTGCCCTGCACTCACGTGGCCCGTGGCTCGGTGAAGACGTCAGTGTGGATGTGCATCATGAGGTCACCACCGGCCGTGTACTCCATGACGAAGCAGACGTGCTCGGGCGTCTGGAAGCAGGCGAAGAGGTTCACCAGGAACGGGTGCCGCGAGCTATTCACCGTCTCGAAGATCCGCTTCTCGCACATCAGGCTGCAGTGGAGAGGGGAAATGGGGAGAGGCGGGAAAAGGCAGGGGTGGGGTGAGGGATTCGGTTCCCCAGGCCCTCAGCAGGGATCTCCAGAGGGAACTGGCTGGGTCTCCATGGCACGAGGGGGGGGGGGGGTGCTGGGTACTCACCTCTCCACCTCGTCCCGCGCCACAATGTCCCCCTTCTTCAAGGCTTTGATGGCGTAGAGCTCCCCTGTGCGGCTGTATTCGGAGAGCAGCACCTGCAGCCACACACAGCCGGCGTTAGGGGCCGCACTGCGGCTGGGGGCCAGGGCTCCTGGGAGGGGAGTGGGGTCTAGTGGTGAGAGCAGGGGCTGGGCGCCAGGACTCCTGGGTTTTCTCCCCAGCTCTGGCAAGGAGTCGTGGCACGACTGGGTGCAAATCACTTCTCTGTGTCGTTTCTCTGCCCCGCTGGGAAGGGCCTGGATGGGGGGCACTTTAGACTTCCTGCCACAGCAGGGGGGCTGCAGATGAATGAATTGGGGGGAGCCCTTGAGGAGTTACTAGGGGGGAGGGCTGGGGGAAGGGGCGCGAGTGGGGCTGGGTCCAAGACTCACTTTGCCGAAGTGCCCACGTCCCAGCACGGCCAAGAACCTGAAGTCATCCAGCGTCAAGGGCGTCGTCCTGGGGGGCAGAGGCAGAGTGAGAACCGGGCACCGCTGCGGCTGGCAGCCGGCGTGGGGCGGGGAGGGACCTGCGCACCATGGGCAGAGAGTCCCCTTACCCCTCCCCTGGCCCAACCCTGAGCAGGGGGGGCTGCGAATGGTGCCCCCCTAATCCCCACCCCCTCTGGGGAGAGAAGAGCCCCAGGAGGGGAAGGGGCTGCTCGCTTCACCCCTGCCCCCCCACAACCCGACCCCCTCTGTCAGCCGGCTCTGGGCAGTGAGAGTCCCTGGTGGGGGCTGTGGGGGGCAGGGTGGGACCCTGGGGATGGGGTGACTGTCCCAGCGGGGGTCCCAAGAGGACCTGGGGTAAGGGAAGGGGACTGTGGGGAGGAATGGGACTAACAAGTGTGTGTGTGTGGGGGGGGAAGGCAGGAAGTGGGGAAGGGGTCTGGGGGGAGGGGAGGGGGGGCTAGGGACAAGTGGGGGAGGAATTGGGTCAGCAGGCAGGAGAAGGGCTTGTGATGGAGGGGCAGGGCTGGCAGGTGAGGGAGGGGCCAGTGATAGAGGGGTGGGGTCAGCAGGTGGGGGAGGGGCTTGGCATGTGGCAGGTGTCAAAGTGGGTGGGGCCCTGTTGCCAGCTTTCTCCCTGGAGTGGCTGGGAGGCTGGAGCAGGGCTGGGGGAAGGGGTTCCCCCCCCCTTGTCCCGGAGGCAACCTCCAGCGAGGTGTGGGGGGGCAGCGGCCGGGGGTCTGGGTCAGGAGCAAATGGGGCTGGGAGGGACCCTGTGGTCTCTGGGGCTGGGCAGACACGGGGAGGGGGGCTGGGGAGATGGGGGCAGCATGGGGGCAGGGGTCCCTCACCTGTGCAGGGTGCTATTCCCAGGCCTTCGGGTGTCTCCTCCCAGCACCGGCTCCTCATCTCCTGCTTGTGGGCTCTGGGGGGCAGACGGGGGTGGGGGGATCAGGCAGACAGGACCTCACCCGGCCCCCTCACTGCCCGCTGCACCAGGTGTGGGGGGGTAGCTGAGATGGCACCACAGTCCCATGGCAGTGCTGGGTGGTGCCAGAGGCTTGAGGGATGAGCCCCGGGGGACAGCAGGGCCTAGCCTTCCTCACTGGGGTACAGAGGGGCCCAGCCATGAGGCAGGGAATCTCCATCTACAACTCCCTGCTTCATCTCCAGGGTGCCCATCCCCACGGACTCTGGGCGCAGCTGATGGCCCTGTCAGACAGGAGGGAGCGAGAGTCGGGTCCCCAGTCGCTGGCGACATGGGGTCCGTTCCCTCCCCTGGGCTCTGACTGCAGGGAGCCCCTGGGTCTGGCACTGGTTCCCCGTGGGGCTGGGTTTGGGCTGCTGGGTCCCCATAGCTGGTGCTGGAGCCCAGGGTGGGCGGTTCTCTGTGCCTGGCGCCAGGGACCCGGCCCATCCCTGCCATCCCCGGGAGCTGCTCTAGGCACTGGGCTGGTGCCCTGAACCCCCAGGACCAGCCCCCCACGTGGCAGGGGGAGTCTTACCAGTGCGCCCCTCTCCGGTCGCTCCCCACCATCGGCCGGCTGGCCTGGCTGCTCCTGCTGCGGCTTATCAATGTCCAGGTTCAGCTTCTCGATGGAGAAGTCTCTGCGGGGCAGGGAAGGCGGGGGTCAGAGGGGAAGACCCATGGGATCCCCCCATAGCCCCCTCCCCCCAGATCCCCGGAGGAGCTGGAGCTGGGGGACCCCGCCTGGGAGGCTGGAGGGTCTGACGACAGGAGGTAGCTGCCCCCTCGTGATCCCCTCCCTGTAAGCATTTGTGGGGTGGGCCGGGCAAATCTCCTGCCCCCTTCCACAGCTGGGCGGTGAGGCACCCCCAGGCTCCTGGCAGTATCTGGGCTCTTGCCCCACAGATCTGGGCCCCCCCATCACCCCACACCCCTCTGGGGGGCAGCTTGACTGGCCTGCCAGGGGTGTGGGGCCTGCCCCTCTATCCCTCCACAGTGGGGGGCTGTCCCTGGGGACCCTGCCCAACCCCCACAGTCCTGGGCCCCAGAGCGAGGGCAGAATGAGCCCCCCAGGGGGCCATGCTGGGTGCGGTGAGCTCCAGCCCCCCACTCCTCCAGGGACCCCCAGGGGCTCACCTGGCCAGGCCGAGGTGGCCCTCGGAGCCGGGCCCGGCGGGCATGTGGGCCGAGGGGCTGTAGGCGCCGGTGGAGCTGGTGGTGGGCAGGAGGCGCCGCAGCAGCCGCACCCAGGTGGCGATGTCGATGTTCATCTGACGGGCGCGCAGGAAGGCCTTGCCTGGGGGGGGGTCAAAGGTCACGGTGGGACTGGTCCCCCCCATACCTCCAGTCACCCCCCAGATCTGCTTTAGGGCTGGGAATGCAGCCGAACCCGGAGCTTCAGCAGCAAGAGGCTCCAGTGCCCAGTGCCCGTCCCCTGGGGTGGGGGATATGGGGCAGAGCCCAGCGTCAGCCCCCAAGGAAGAGGGAGGAGCATAGGGGGCAGAGCCCGTCCTGATAGGGAGGAATGAGGATATGGGGCAGCGTCAGCTCCCAATGGGGGAGGGGGACACAGGCTGGCATCCGGTGCCCACACATAACTCTGGGCTGCGGAGTTCACGCAGGAACCCCCCTGGGGCGCTGGGCGCTGCATTCGGGTCCTGCCCCCCCCCCCCCCCCCCCCCCCCAGACGGCACCTTGCTGCTTGGAGAAAATCTTCTTCTGTCTCTGGAGCTTGGGGATGCGCTCGATGACGGGGTCGAAGAAGGTCACCTGGGGCGGCAAGAGACCAGGGTGAGGGGCTGGGCCCGGGCCGGGGGGGGGGGGGCCAGGACAGGGCGAGGTCACTGCACCCTCCACCGCCCCCAACACTGATCTGTTCCCGGGGGCCATGGGGAAGCTCCCACCCCCCTGTGCAGTGGGGCCAGCACAGGCCCCGCTCCAGCGAGCCCATGGGGTGACTGGCCGTGTATGGAGGAGTCCGGGGCCAAGGGGCTTCCCCCTCCCGCGGTGAATTTACCTTGATGGGTGTTGGGAAGGGGACATGGCCAGTTCCCCTCGCCCCGTTCCCTGCTCCCCGCTTCCCCTTCCCAGGACTGCTCCCCACTCCTTCCCCCAGGGCCTGCTCTCCCTCCCCCCACTCGGACCTGCTCCCTGCTCCTCCCTCCTCCCCCCCCCCTGGGACCTCCTCCCCCCCCCCCCCCCCGGGCCTGCTTCCCCTCCCTGTTATCCCAATCCCGCCCCCCGCGGGCATCACCTCGGCCAGCAGGGTGCCCTGGGGCTCCAGGTCCAGGTGGATCTCGTGGCGTTGGTTGTCCAGGAAATCCTCCAGCTTGAGGTGCTTCAAGGCACAGAGGCTGCGGAAATCCCGCCAGTACACCGAGATCTCCAGCTCCCGCGCCTGGGGGGCAGAGTCAGGGGTGAGAGAGGCCCCAGGGACCCAGCCAGGGCTATGGGGCAGCTGGGGGTGGGGGGCAAGGCAGTGCGGAAGCCCCACCCACCACCTGGCAGCTCCACCCACAACCCCCGCAAAGGAGCTGGATATTTGGACTAAAATGTCCAGCAGTAAAACAGCTCCCAGCACTGGAGCCATTATTAGGTTCCAGTGTAAACAGTTTCCCACTGACCTGGGGCCATTTTAACCCCTTCCAGTAGCTGCTTCTACAGTGGCTCAGCTGAGTTTTGGGCCCGGGGGGGTGTGTGACTACAACTCGGTTAGAGCTGGCGTGCAGACGGGAGCTGGCTGTGCCCTGCTAAACACTTTGGGCTGGGGGAGGGCCCGTCCACACTACAAAGTGACAATGTTGGAAGCAGAATCAGGGCTGGGCCATGTTGGAACCAGGTGCCCCAATGCGGTTAAGAGGTTAACAGGGTCCAGGGGGGACGGGGCAGCTGAGCATTGGAAGCCCAGCTCTGTTCGGGATCGGCAGTGCGGGCAGTGCAGCAACCAGGCTGAGGGGGCTGGGGGCCAGGACTCCTGGGTTCTATCGCCAGTGCTGGGAAGGGAGTGGGGTCTAATGAT